ACCTCGAAGGGATGCATGTTTGTACCCCTTCGGGATTTGGGGCTTCGTCGATGTCACTTTGTGGAGGCACGTGGATGCAACACGCCCCAGCCACAGACTCTTGTAGGAGTTATCTCACAAACGGGCCCCACCTTCAAGCTCTAACCTCAAAGCCTGAAGTGCAAAACCCTAGACTCCTAACGCAAAGTCTGAATCGCTCAACCAAGCTCGCAAGCCCTTTGATGATCTCGGATGGATCCAAGCGACAGGTCCTGGGGGGCAGTGATGCGAGCCGTGCTACGGACTTCCTTGCGGACAAGTACCGTGCGGTCGATCTGAGCTCCGCCAATTGAACTGGGGGTTGCCAAAGGCTGCGGGCGTTCATGGATGTCCCCCAACCCCGAGACCCAAAGACCCAAATTGACGCGAGGGTGCTGTCTGAATAATGACAGGCAGTACACAAGTACAGATCATATTCCCATCAGTCCACGTATACTTCACCACAGTATGCTGTAGCCAAGCCTGCGCCTATTTGACAAGGCTTCCTCAGCACGCGCCCCTCTCCAAAACAAACGCTGTAGAGTTTCCAGCAAACGGGTCTTCGCGGTTTGGGCTCCAAGCCTTTGAATAATTTGTCCAGCTCAGCAGAAACCAGTGAGTCCTGAACTCTATAAGACATCAACCTCAAACCTTAAAGACCCAGGCCTAGAGCCGCCCAGAAGCCCTAAAAATGCCAGAAGCAACAAATCTCACTCAGGCCCTGAAACTCTCAAACCCTCCAAGCCCCAAACCTCAGATCGCTAGAACACCCAAGGAAGGGCTACTGCAAAGCCTTATGGCTTCCAGTGAGCGGTACAAAGGCCACGAAGCCGGTTCCGAAATCTCCTGCACTTTCGGATTTGCATGGATTTGTAGATTTGTTTTTCTGATGGTTGGGCTTATTTGGGGTTTAGGGTTCTTTGGGTGTCCTTTTAAGACTCCGGGTTTACGTTGGACCGTGCGTGAACTGAGAACCACATCTTCGAATTCGGATGAATGCGATAGCTTCTTCTGGAGGTCTCGCAGAAGGGATCTTCCGAAATTGTCCTTTTCGGCCCGGCCCCCTTCGACAGTGACGACAGCCAGTGAGCCTGCCAAAGGAAACTCGTAGAACATCTCAATCCTCTCTGTCTCGTTTCTTGTCTCCGGCTCTCTCGCTCTCTCTCTCTCTCTCTGTCTCTCGCCTTGTATCTCTGTGTCCGTCTCTGTCGCCCTCCCGAACAACCTTGAACCGTTCCGTCTGCTCGCACGATACTGCAAAGTGAAAGCCTCTAGGCCTTCAGGCTCCAGGCTCCACCCAGCCCCGAAACTCCCTAAGTCCAATGGGGGTTTCGAAAAGAGGGAACCCTAAGATAGTGCCCTAAATAGTAGGATCCTTATTATAAGGAGCCCAAAATAAGGTACCCCTTATTTTCGGAAACTCCCCTATCAGGATGAGCTCAGGAGCACCCGAAGTCTCCGATAGCTCCGAGCCCCCAAGGCGCAGATGGCGGAGCGAATTGCGGCCAAGGCCTCTGAGCTCTCCAAAGTCCTGCGCGCCAAGCGGGCAGGCGCCGGGGAAGGGAGCTGCGCTTTTCTGTCTGGTGCTTAGTAGGGAATGGGGGAATGGGTTATAGGGACTATCATAGGGATCCATTCCCCCATTCCCTACTAAGCACCAGACAGTTTTTGAGGGTTGAGGGGGAGCAGTCGGTTTGGTTCCTAGGGTTTGGGGCTTAGGGCTCAGGGCTTGGCTGCTTGGCTTAGGACTTTGAGGGGATCCGGGCATGTGGCTTCAAGATGAGAGGAGATGCGAGGGTTGGCTTCTTAGTTTGAAGACATATAGAACAGGACAATTCTCGACATGAGACGGCTGGAGGGAAGTACCCGTAATTACCTAATTATTGCGCTGAGCTGCCTTGGCCAACAGTTCAGCACTGTTTGCATCGTAAGTTGATTGTGGCAGGCTCCTTGGTGTTGTGACCTGTGGTGGTATGCCCACTACTCACGATCACCTCCAGTGTTGCTGCCACTCCCCCTCGCAACCGTAAACCCTGCTTCATTGTTGACGGAACTACAATCCAAGGGCTGGGCACTGCGCCCTCATCCAACGCGGAGGTAGCACAGGCGGGGCCACACTGTCTCTTCGAGTTTTAGGGGGCTTGGGTTTGGTGGGTGTCTTGTTTTGGGGGGTGGGGGTTGCGGTGTTGGCATCTGGGACACATGTTGAGTGAACGTCGATTGGGCGCAGCAAGCTCAGGACGAAAGGTACACGAGGAGAAGTGCATGTCGTGTCAGGAAATTTCAGGTTGAGGCGGACACTGGCGAAGTTAACATAGGTTTTAGGGGCGTGACTAGCTAGTATTATAGTTCCTTACGGTTCGATTGAAAACTGGAAGTTCTTTTACACGAAAACCCTACTCAAGGCCGCCCCAAATTGTTTGCAAATTGAGAATGTAACCTTGCAGCAGGGCTGTCAGACAAAGCTAAGAGCTTTTCACCTTCAGCAATTTGTCACTTGCTCTTAAAGAATAACACGCTGCAATACCTCAACCCTAAACCCCCAAACTTGAAGTCCTGACCTCGCTGTAGCCTTCCCGGAGGCTCCGACGCGGAGTCGCCGCCCAGCTCAGGTCTCGAGGATGGAGGAGGCGGGCACTTGGGGTATCCTGTGGGGACAGAGGGTGCGGTTTGGGCTTTAAGGTTTCGGGTTCAGGGTTCGGGGTTAGAGCTTTGAAAGGGGCCTACTGCTGGCGGGATTTTAAGGTTAGGGTCCAAGTGCACTGACTTGAAAAACCCTGTGCCAGTTCTGGCTTCAGTACGAATACTGCAGGATATCACGGCTGCTAAATTCAGAATCCAGAAGCCGCCCAAATCAACATCCAAAGCCCGAACCTCTAAGCCGTATTGGGCACCCGGACCCTGCAACCCTGCCCCTACTACCTCTTCACCCCAAAACCCTAAACTCAAAACCCTGCAAAAGGGGCAGGAGATCGCCACAACGAAGCCGTCGCAGGGGTCAAAGAAGAATGGATGCCACACGGGGTCCAGCTGAGTGAAGGGGACGTGCACATGAGTGAGAAGGCTGAGTGAGAAGGTCACAAACTGAGAGGGGTCGACGTAAACGTGGGTCCAAAGGGGCCAGCCAGCCCGAAAGGGTTTGGAAGACGTTGCAAAAAACCCTGCAAAAACCCAAAACAGCTTTGAGAGCGCCGGCGGTCCTGAGCATGTGGCACAGAGAGAGGCCGAGCTTGGTGCAGAGGATGCGACGGGAGCACCGCGACCAGGACCTCAGGGAGTGTGGAGATGTTTTGGAGGTTAGGGTGTTCAGTGATACGAGGATGTCATTCCAGCCTTCGGGCGTCGTTTAGGGAGAGGATTCGGGTTCTGAGGTGGCTTGATGATCCTCAAGTGAGTCTACAGTCTACTTGACATAAGACGGAACATCATGGAGCCAATACGTAAAAGTTCTCTTGCCGTCTCAACCATCGTCATGGCGTCCACACAATAGATGTTGGTTGCAGTTCTACAGCTGCCACCCTGCTGTGAGCGGGGAGTTTTGCGTTTCCTGCTGATGCCCTGTGGCCGGAGATGCTGGGTGCTCCTAAACCGTAAACGTCCCTGAGCCGAAGCTAAACGGCCGATGCATTGAAGAGCCCGGAGCCCTAAGATGAACCCTGCTTTTTGTTGTTCCGCTAGGAGGGGACATCTTCGAGCCCGCAGACGCTGAGGCAAGTGGTTCAGGGTTTCTGACCGTGAGGCCTCGGGTTCAGAGTTCAGGGTTTGCTGGACGCCTAACACAGGGGTTTGAGTGATGAATAGTGACGAATAGTGACGCTTACTGTGCCCCTATCGTACCGATTTTCGTTTAGCATTTCACGCCCCAAATCCTAGTCTAACTTCTAAGGGCCTACGCTACACCTGTTTTGGCAACCCTTGTAGATCCGTACAAGCAATTCTGACAGTAGTTTTGAGGCACCCACACTACCTTATAGCAACCCTGAAACCCTTGAAATAAAGGAACCCATATAGGGGTTTCCGAAAATAGGGGACCCTAACATAGTACCCTAAATAGTCGGATCCCCGTTATAAGGACCCCAAAATAAGGTCCCCCCTATTTTCGGAAACTCCCATATTACATTGTAACTAAAGAAAAACCCCCAAGGAAGAATGACCCAAAGGTCATGGATGCCGAGGAGGTGGAGCAGTCACAGGCGGCCCCCAGCGGAGGCCGGCGCAGCCATCGGTTTAGGGTTTAGGGTTTAGGGGTTTAGGGGTTTAGGGGTTTAGGGTTTAGGGTAGGGTTTGGGACTTTTTTGGGGGTCTCTTGGGCTAGGGTTGATAGGGGTGTAGGGTTTGGGAGCCTTATAAACCCGGACCGGATTGAGTTGAAAGCTGACAGCTCGCACTTAAGTTTAGGGCGTAGGCTTTAGGGTCATGGTTTTGGCTTTGATGTATTGGCGCTTGGCGCATTGGGCCTAGGTCGAGGATTCAGATTCCCAGCCCTCTCGTGTTGCAAGAAACTGCCACACAGCGTGGTTGCTGGTTGCTTTCAACAAAGCTGCCCACCATCAATAGGAGTTCGCAGCCGGAGCGGCCACACACACGGGACCCTGATCTGCAACAGCCATCAGCCGATGGCATCGAAGGCTGCTGCAGCAAGCTTGCTCAAGTCAGTACTTGCAGACTTGCATACGCAAAGCTCATTCCTCCACAGTTCTGCGAAGAACTCTGCAAAGCCTTAAAGCCAGCCTTAACGTCTTAAAGCAACCGTAGTCGAAAATGACAGAAAAGGGGAACCCTTTTCTACAACGGGTCAAGCCACTCTAACCTAAATCCAGCAGCAAGAAACCTCAACCCTGAACCCTCCAAACCCTCAATACAAAGCCTCAAGCATCCAAAACTAAAACGGCCTCAATGCCCCAAGCCCAAACCCTCACAACACCTCCGGCCCCCCCCCTAAAACAGCCCGACGCCTGAAGTACCTGGCCGGGGCCCCAGCCATGGCGAAGCATGCCGAAGCCTTCGAGGAGATCAGTCGGCTACCCGGGCTGGTGCATGTGAAGGTGGGTTTCGCGGGCTTAGGGCCGTTGAGGGTTTAGGGCTTCCAGGGAATGAAGCCTCGACCCGCCAGCCCTAGACCCGAAAGGTAACATCGACATCGCCAAGCCTAAACCACCTAAACCTCTTAAGCCGCCTCCCTTAAACTTTATTAAACCCCCCGAGTGCTAACCTCCAGCAACTTGCTGCAGAGGGCCGTCCTCCCAGGTGACGGACCGAGAGGAGCCCTATGCCGTGCCAGCCAGCCTCCTGACGCTGAGCTCCGACGTTTGGAGGCCTTCGGGTTAAGGGTCTTTCCTTCTCCCTCCCTTGTTTTCCAGTCGCGTTTAGGGCTTTAGCGGTTGAATCGGCTTGGGGCTTGAGAGCTTTTTGAGGCAGTCAGGGCTCGGGTTTCAGGATGAGGCTTAGGTGTGTGGAAGTTATTCCTTCGGCTTCTTTCCGTCAGCATGTCCGGCAGTGCTCATATATATATATATATACACATACTTGTATGTATACATATATATATATATATATATAGAAGTATATATATATATATATGTATATCTATATACATATGTGTGTGTATATATATATATATGCTCACCCCCCCGCGTTGACAGACCGCGGCGCGCATACA